AAAAATGACAAAGAAAATTTAATTTTTAAAAATTTTCGATATGCTTCTTGTGATCCTCATTATCGTTTATAGGGATGGCAAAAAAATCTGTACCCGCGGATAAAATTCGTCACGGATATGGGATGGAGAACTTAATGGATATTTAAATATCCGTTTGTTAATGAATATAAATACGAGTTTAATGATATTTGTACCCGCAGATATCGATATTCGTTAATAAATTATAAAAATCATTTAAATATTATTAGTTTATTATACCTTGTCTTTTCATCTTCTAAAAGAATTAGTCTTCTTATATTTCTTTCTTTTTTTGAAATTTTCTTTGAAGAAAACCTTTCAAATTTCATTCAAATTCTATTAGCCACTTCATATTTAAACTCTTCAATACTCTATAACTCACTTCAACAATTTCACATTTCAAACAACATGTCATCATTCCACTATCGAACCAGTGTCTCTCTTCCTACTCTACTGTCGTCCGTTCTTTCATCACAATCACAATATCTTTTATTTGTTTGGTTAAAAATGAAATGTATGAATATTATGTTTGGATCTAATTATGCTTTGGTAAATAAGAAGAAAATTAATATGATAAAATTTTATTGTTAAATTAAGAGCGAATTGTATGGATGTTATGTGGTAATAACTTTTTGTATCTTTAAAAGAAATTAAAAATATTTTTTTCAAAAAATAATTTTTATAAAAAAAATATTATCCACAAATATCTATAAATATCCACGGATGTCATAAAACTCGTAGATTGCCCACTTAACGGATATCTGCATGAATATGGGACAAATTAATATCATATTTTTTCAACGGAGCGGATACGGATATCATAATATTCGTTCTTATAAATATCCATTATCATCCCTAATCGTCGAGGTGTCAAAATTTCAAAATTTGCACAAATTTTTAATGAATTTGATAATATAATTTTAAAATCGTATCAATGATATGGTAAATTCGCTCAATGTGTGAGGGTATTAAATATAATTGGGAGTAGTTAAATTCTTAGTTTTTTAGCATATTTTTTCTTGCATTGTAATAGATACATGTAAAATTCTCGTTGTTTAGATTTTAGTGTTAATGGCTTCCTAAAGCAATATAAAAATTGTGTTACTTATCATTAAAAATAATAAAATATTACTAATTGATGAAGTAATTCTAAAAAATATAGATATAAATTGGGGAAGTTAAATATAAATTGCTTATCATAATAATCTTGAAGTAAAATTTGTAAAAATTAATTAAAAATGGCTTAAATGCAATATGACAATTTAAACCTGCAAAAATTAACTCAAACAATTAAAATTAGTTTTTTCGTTTTTTCATTGAAAACTAGTAGAAAACCGTGCTTCCGCACGGATAAAATAAATTTGTAAATATATATATATATATCTAATTTTGATAAATATACGTGTACAAGAGTTAAATGAAAGAGAATGCAATTAAAAAGAAATAATAATAATTTAACAACAGAAAAATTGAATATTAAACAACTAATTTAACTTCATGAAATTATAATGTTGTCAACAAAGAAGTAAAGTAATAATAAATAGTAAAAGAGAAGTACTACAATAAAATGTCGTGTAACCGATGTTGCAAAATAATGTGTTTGTTGGAGTTGGTATGACAATGTTCAGCCGTAAAAAAAAAGAATATTTAGAGAACAATTAGATCATTTTATTTTAATAGAAAGCTTAACGACAGAGAAGGGTATCAATGTTATACCTACTAAATACTGTGAAAGACTTCTTTGAATACAACGTTAGTGGTAGTAGCAGTGGTATTGTTATTTTTTCTTGCATTGTAATAGATACATGTAAAATTCTCGTTGTTTAGATTTTAGTGTTAATGGCTTCCTAAAGCAATATAAAAATTGTGTTACTTATCATTTAAAATAATAAAATATTACTAATTGATGAAGTAATTCTAAAAAAATATAGATATAAATTGGGGAAGTTAAATATAAATTGCTTATCATAATAATCTTGAAGTAAAATTTGTAAAAATTAATTAAAAATGGCTTAAATGCAATATGACAATTTAAACCTGCAAAAATTAACTCAAACAATTAAAATTAGTTTTTTCGTTTTTTCATTGAAAACTAGTAGAAAACCGTGCTTCCGCACGGATAAAATAAATTTGTAAATATATATATCTAATTTTGATAAATATACGTGTACAAGAGTTAAATGAAAGAGAATGCAATTAAAAAGAAATAATAATAATTTAACAACAGGAAAATTGAATATTAAACAACTAATTTAACTTCATGAAATTATAATGTTGTCAACAAAGAAGTAAAGTAATAATAAATAGTAAAAGAGAAGTATTACAATAAAATGTCGTGTAACCGATGTTGCAAAATAATGTGTTTGTTGGAGTTGGTATGACAATGTTCAGCCGTAAAAAAAAAAGAATATTTAGAGAACAATTAGATCATTTTATTTTAATAGAAAGCTTAACGACAGAGAAGGGTATCAATGTTATACCTACTAAATACTGTGAAAGACTTCTTTGAATACAACGTTAGTGGTAGTAGCAGTGGTATTGTTATTTTTATCATGAATCAATATTTTAAGACCTTGTTTTGTCTTAACTCGGGCATTGCGACATACAACTGACCATGACTAAATACATCCTTTGGCAGGTATAAACCAACTACGTCTAACGATTGACCTTGTGATTTGTTAATTGTCATAGCGAAAGAAACAATAATGGGGAATTGTCTTCTCACTAACTTAAAAGGTCATGGTGACTGAGATGGGGACAAAGACATTCTTGCAATATAAATGATGTTACCTATATTCTTTTCTGAAATGATTCTAGCTTCAATAACATGATTAACCAACCTTGTAACCGTGAGCCTTGTACCATTGCATAAACCTTCGGATTGATCTAAGTTTCTCATCAACATAATTGTGGCACCAATCTTCAACTTTATAGAATGATTAGGCAATCCAGAAGTTTTAAGAGCATTTAGAAATTCAGCAGTTAAGTGCTCAAATGCATCAAAATCGGTTGTTGTTGATCTATCAATAGAATCACTACTAAAGTATTCATTTTCTTCTCCTAAAAGAAAAAAAAAACAGACAAATGATAAAACAATTAAAAAATGAAGTCATATATGAAAATAGCATGAAAACAACTTAACGACATGTATAGTACCTGGAAGAAGATTTGTGATATATTGATTAATCTTATCGACAACTTCAATTGTTGAAGCCAAGATAGCACGACTTTGTAAAAAATTGGGGTCATGATAGTTATGAATGAGATCGGGATAGGTACTATCAACAATAGCCTTAATAGGATGTGAAAAATTTGGAATTAAAAATTCTTCAGGAATATTAATTTCAACATAACCATATTAGCCTCACCCATGGTACCATCTCCAATAGCTAAAATCTACTCAGAAAATATACAAACTTCTTCAATGTGTTTTGAAGTTGTCCCACTTTGTAGGCGCATATTTTTTGTAAGCTTGAGGACTTTGCACTAATCCCAAATATAAGAAGCATTGATAGTTGAATGAATAATATCAGATCTACTACCTCTTGGAACAACGGAAAGGATTTGTCTAAAATCACGACCAAAAATAACTACTTTGCCTCCAAATAATTTATTTGTAGCCTGTGGAAATTCACTCATAATGTCTCTCAAGGATTTATCAAGAGCTTCAAAGCAAAATCTATTAGCCATCGGAGCCTCATCCCATATAATAAGATCTGTTATCTTTAAAAACTCAGCAAGATCATCATTTTAGTCAATGTTGCAAATTGAAGAATGCAAAGTAGGGACATGTATCTTAAACCTAGAATGTGATGTTCTTCCACCTGGTAACAATAGACTTGCAATCCCACTTGATGCCACAGGCAATACAATTTTATGTTTAGAACGAATAGCAGCAGCGAGAGTGTTCCACATAAATGTTTTACTTGTTCCACCATAACCATATAAAAAAAAACACCACCACCATTTTGTTTGTCTACGGCATCCATGACATCAAAGTAAATGTGTTTCTGCTCATCTGTAAAAATACATCACGTGACAATATGTTTAAAAATGAGAATTTAAAGCATTATTAGGCATTGACTACAATAAATGGTATAGAGATCTTCAACTATAAATAATATAAATTATAAACAATAAGTATTGTATTTATCAATATTATAGTTATAAACATGAAATAAGTTGGAAAAATATATAGTTTACGAATGTAATTTTACCTATAAGAGATGAGAACAAAGTATCAAAAAGAATTTTTTGAGCATTTGAATCATATTGTCTTTCTTCATAAATCAGGCGGTTTCCAAGAAAAGAAAGTACAAAGTCATTTGGATATGGCATTGACTTGAAATCATTCAGACTTCTATTGTTCTTTTGTAACTGAGTTTCTATTTCAATCAGAGTAAGCTGTTTTAATTCTTCATCGGTAAATTTAATCCTAATAAATATAAATTGCTTATCATAATGACTCTTGAAGTAAAATTTGTAAAAATTAATTAAAAATGGCTTAAATGCAATATGACAATTTAAACATGCAAAAATTAACTCAAACAATTAAAACTAGTTTTTTCATTGAAAATATTGTGGATGAATGGTTAGATGAGTTGTTTGAGGCTAAATATTTTTCTAAAAATAGGGATAGGTATTACACATGCTAACAAAATTATGTCCCTGCTCAAACCCACCTCTAAATGAGGAGAAAACCCTGCTTTGAGTGAGTTCGGACAAATATTCTTTACACAACCTTGTGCATGAAGCGTTTAAATTTATATCTAGCTATCGTAAGAACACCAGCCTCTAACCTTAATTAGAAAAAGCATGATTGATACTAATCCAATATTTTAACTATCCCTGATCCTAGTTTCTATTTCTAACTCTTGCTTCAGAATTTACATAGAACATCATCGTTTCTGGCTTGGTGAACTAGATAATTGATGATAATACATAGATAATGATAATACATAAATTTTAATCACGCCTAACTGCTAGTTTCTTCTCCTAAAGTTGAATTTAACGTTAACCACATAACGCATCCTAATCTGCTCCACATTATAAACAATGTATTCATTGTACAATAGATCACCCTGCAACACAAATTGATGGATAATAGTTAAGGTATGATGTAATCAGTCATGGTCATGTTCAACAAACATAAGCCTGAACTTCTGTTGTTGAAGTGAAAAAATTTAGTGCATACCTTAATGCCTGAATTCTTTTTGGGCTTCCCAAGGGGAACAGTGAGTCCATCATCAAGCTCCCGCGCTTTAGAATAATCTGGAGCTGTAGCTCCTACTCCTTTTGTGCTGCAGATTGCATAGAAAAATAAATTCAAGTAGTCCAACATATAATGCACAATGTTTGATGTTATATGACAATTTGGAGAGGCACGCACTAAGCCAGGATCGACGAAAACTTGATTGACATTGTATAACGACACAAATCAATTGATCAAAATATATTTAGTATTTCTACAAAACAATTCCACCTGCTGAAAAAATAAAATTGGAAACAATTATGAAATTGGATTAACATATACCTCAGTTTTCCTTTAGGCAACTTATCAGCATCATATTTAGCGGTTAGAAGCTCGGCCATCTCACCTAAAGCAACCTAAAAGTACAGAAAATATAAATGATAATTCTTAGATGTAACTCAATATTAACATATGTTACAACAAACAAGTATTTATAACTAAAACTTACTGAAGATGTTAATCAATAATGAACATACTGCAAGCATAATCTAAAGGATTCTTGTAGATTATATTGACATTAAATTCCAGACTAGATGACAACCAATGCAATGTTCCATAAATTGGGTAGTTGTAATTATCTAAAATATTGTTTGATATAACAAACCAATTTGAGAAATTCAATATTGGAGTGTCAACCCCCGTTCCTAAAGCAAAACTATTCCTATCAATGCAACAATGTTTAATATTAGACAATAGATGTGAAACAACCTCACATAAAAGAAGCACCCCATCTGCAGAAGTAGGAGTAGGATAACAATAATTTGCACTTTTTGAGAACATGTCAGCAAAGTACACCCCCTTGCCAAACATGTAGCCAGTTACAGGTGCCTCTGGAGGAGCTATGCGCAAACCTGATGATTGTACATATATATCTAAGACTCATATTATTGCACGAAGCTTTATAACATCGTTACTCGTGCAAAAAAGAAAACTGCCAAAAAAGTGAGAGAACGAATGACCTTGAGATAAAATCCCAGTCCAGTTTGTGAGCCGAGAACCATGCCACAAAAGCATCCTATTCTTTGTATCAGAAAACTGTTGTACAATGTCAATTTAGTGGGCGACTCAATTCATTCAAATACAAAATGTCAACAATTGAATAACAAAATCATGTATTTCAACACGATAGATCATGAGTCGGTAATGTGTTAGTCAAACCTTCCTGAAGCGATCAGCCTCGCCTTCTTTCGATGTTCTGAATATTTGGACAATTTCTGCAGTATAGTTTGAATGTGTTTCTGCGTGAGTGTTCTTCATATAATTTTCAATCTGATCACATCAAAAAAGGGCAGCAGGTGTCAGGAGGATTAACAACAGAAGCTCCAGCAACAGGTCCGATTAAATTATCACAGTCTCCAATTGCATTATCTTTTTCGTGCTTACAGAATTATATGATATTTCAGATCAAATGAGAAGAATAACTTTCGCGTTATAGATTTCACTTTTCCATTAAATAAACCATGATACTGCCTTTAATATTAATATTTACATCAAAACTAAAACAACAGCACAATTGTTTACCATGGAGAATTCATCAGTACCGAAATCAACTGGTACTAGTTCACAGTGAAGACGCTGATAATGAGCATACAGGGGATCTCCCTATCAGCAAATCCAAAACAACAATAATAATTTAGTGTGCATGCAGAAATCCTGACTAAAAAAATTTACAGAAACCAAAATTGTCAAATGAGTGGCATTTTATTTTAAAAATAACTTGTGTAAATATTAATCAGTAAGCCGGTGAATTTATATAATTGAAGAAAATAACTAGGGCAAATAAAATAGTACTGCACTCCATCTATTTAGTAGACAAGCGAATATCATTAGCAAATGGGCACTTCTTGGATATACATCATTGTTATATAAATCATCATGAGAATAAATTCCAATACTAAATTGCAAATCGGTGAAAAAGTAAAACAAATACTTTGCAAAGAAATAAATTAATTTGGGAAGTTTAATTGTGTACATGTCCATTGATTTCACAAAAAAAAAAAAAAAAAAAACCCCTTAAATGTCTGTTCATTCAACAGTTGGGTGGGATGCTAGTTAAAAATGAAATGTATCATAACTTCCTCATATTATATAAACCCACAATGAATAGGAAATGGATATCATAATAAAGGGTATTTTCTCCACTCCTCTATTAATGAGGAAATCATCTATATCGTAAGACAAAAGGAAATCATCTATAATATAAAAGAGAACAAGACTGGAAAAAATTTAGAGATATTGACATCAAATATAAAGAAATTCAAACAAGTACCTCCATTTCAGCATCATCTTTCAATAGCTTGGTGGCAACCTCAATTTCAGCAAGAGCTTCGACCTATAATTGAGTAGGAGTCAAAATAATGTCAATGGTTAAACAAACATGGGTAAAAACCATGCTCTATTCCTAGGAATATTTGCAAATTTATGGAGGTATAGGGGTGACAAGAGGAATCTGCCAGTGCTAAAATTTAAGCAGGTCACAAATGAAAGAATAAGAAAACAACAATTAGACACTATGAGCAACCAGAATAACCTGGTCAATACATATAACTGGAAACAAAAGGATTACCATTTCCAATTTGCGTTTTAACTTCTGAGGGGTGTCAATTACAAACTCACCTGTCATTATTAATATTCCATGTTATTGAGTACACTTCTTAAAAAGAATGAAAAATAAACACAGTAAGAACATACATTCATGATTTAGAAGTATTGTTAAGCATGTGTACAAGATAAATTAAACAGAGAGACGACTTACGCATTTTTTTAAATCCAAAGTCATGAGGAATTACACTGTAGAACTCTCTGCAACAAGTTCATAACCAAATATTAAATATGGCAATCCAATTTTTTCAAAGCAAAAATTAACAACTACAAATAACACTCACAGTGAATGAATTCTAATATGGGTAAGAGCACATGGCTTTTTGAAGCAAGCGAAAAGAAGGCATGTACTTCCATGGAAAAGAGGAGAATACATTGAGGAAAATGAAAAACAAGCTAAATTTCTTACCCGCTTAATTGCTCTAGAGCTTTCCTATCAAATTTGTCAACCACATCAGCAAGTCTTTTAAGAACATTGTATCCCTATATATTCCGAGAAACAAAATTGGTTATTTAATGGACAAGATAAGCAAAACTGGCAAGTTGCAAAGCTGTCAGAGTGCCCCAAGAACTGAAAACAAAAGTCACCACACATGAAAACTTTTGCACCATGATATAGACATTAATATTTCAGGTTTTAACAGTAGAAATTATTCACATATCCTAGGTGTCTTCTACCATGCACCACTTTTATTGGTGGTGCATGGTATTGTGTCACTGACAGAGACATCAACAACAACCCACTGGACCTTCCAATCAGACTCGTCTCAGTATCCGTCAAGCTTAATATACTCAAAGGTTATGCTTCTATATTTCATGCTGCCACTGTGTTTTTCCTCACACATAATGGCATCCCCAATCCAAGCAACCAAACACTCCGATTTCTTTTCTCTCTCAAAAACCACAAGCTCTTCCCATCGTCGATAAGCAATTCCAACAACACACCACTCATCATTCCTACCTCATTGTGTTTCAATTTCTTGCAGCCAATTTCTTCTCAGTTAACTAAATCTTTGGGCTATTGATGCATCTAAAGCCCAATGATTGTCCAGTTTCAGTGCACTTTATGAATGAGATTTAGGCAAGGCTAGAGTAGAGATCCGAGGACGAAGACATGAAAGAGATAGTTCACAAATCCTAGGTGGCTTCTGCCATGCACTACTTTTATAGATGATGTACGATACACCGTCGGGTCACTGTGAGGCCTCAATAACAACCCACCAGACATCCAAACAAACTCCTACAAAGGTGGTATATAGTGGAATTTACTATAATTCTAATTTACTTTAGAAGCTCGGTGCTAGTAAAGAGTGCTGATTCCATCAACAACATGATAGAGGCACAAAATGGATTTTAGTGTGCCAAAAGAGAAAAAATTGACATGCCTATTGGTTTACCTTCAAAATTGTTGATTTGCTAAGTTTTCCTAGGGGCAACTTGTTTGCATTGTACCCTGAAAGAAATATCCCCAGTTAAAGTAAGTAAATAATGGTTTATACTATAAGGTTAGTAGTAAGAAAATACAAGAGAGCATTGTATTGATAAATTATCTATATTTTACTGCTTACTTTCTTCCATTTGTGTAATTAAGCAGAGACAATTTCCCTTTAATTTCTTTCTTTCTTATTTATATCCATCCAAACAACACATTTAATCCATTTAACGTCTAATCATTTTCTCTTTCTGGTTTTTTTTCACTCTTTCTTGTTTCTTTCTTTTTTTATCTTTTGCAAACCAAATAATGCACAAAGGAGTCAAATGCACTCAAGCGAATATCTTGTATGCATGGCTTTGGGAACATATGATCTGGGATTCATCTTGTATAAACAAATAAATAAAAGAAGTAAAAACCAACCTATTTCCATCATTTGTTGATTCATCATGCTCAAATTGCAAACAAGGGATATAAATTTTGCAATACGTGGCTCAAGTTTTGATTCCAAAGGCTGCTTTCTCAAAGCATGACCAGGACTTTCTGTAACCTAAAAGCAGTTGCCAAGTGATTAGAATGACTGACTGTAATAGTTCATTCCTTTTGCTCCCCTTCCACGAAGAGCCACAAGAGCAGATAGCATTAATTACCATTGACAATAAATGAGAGAAGTCTACCCTAATAAAAAAAAACAAGTGCCTTTTGATAAAAATAAAATAAAAACAGTGAACTAACTCAATGATCAGGGGATAATGACTAGAGTTGATTGCAAAAAGCACACCAAATTAATTACAAAATGAGAGGGGAAATGCTACAGGGGGAACAGAGTCAGTACAACTCACTGTAGATTCTTTTTCCTTGCCACTGTAATCCATTTCCAGCCATACATAGCTTTTTGGATGGGAAACAAAATCATTCCTATCACTCCAAGCATTCTTCGTTTTGGCTAAGAACTTTTGTTCAAACTCCTGAATGGCATTTTCACGTGAAGTGTACGGGCCATGTATCTTGTCTTGGCCCTTTATGCCTACTCTTCCCCACCTATTGTAAACAAGGAACTTACCACCATCATCAGATTCTGCAAGAAATTTTGACCTAGGAAGTAAGAAAAAGTAGTCGAATTCAAATAAAACTACTAGAGTAACAAGAGGCAGATCAAACTTTCTTTAAGGATGACAAATAAGCTAACATATTTTCCAACCATCATGTGATATTCCAAAAAAAAAGGGTAATAGAATAAGAAATGCAAAAAGAAGCACTAAACCAGTTCCATAACTAGTTAACTGTAACAACAAATCAAATTCTTCTAAAATCTTATCATAACATCATCAATACAGAGAGAAGGAATCGAGAGAGCTAACCAAGAACTTGAATGACATAGAACTTGTTATTGTTGTCACCAACATTTGTCTGGTTCAACACAGCATCATAGATTTCACCACCCTGCATATTAAACAAAAAGTTACCACACAAGTCAAAGACCCATTAAGTACCCACCATCCAAACAAATGGTATCAATTTAGCAATATATCACTGACAACAACATCATAAAGAACTACTCGACGAGGATAATATTGGCAATGTTAGTAAACTTGCCAGTTCGAGAACATGATAGTGCATTTTTATGTGATCCGGAAGCCATTGATCAAGAACTGCCGCACCCTTTTTGGTTGCAGTCACTCTCTTTTCCACCTCTATTGCCTCCTCCTCTGCATCCATAAGAGACACTTCAAATATGAAAAACAATATAATGATAAGGAAACCCTATCCTTTTCTCTGGTAAAGAGCCAGAGATGAAATTGAATTAAGAGTATACCTACTTCATTTGAACAGCAAAAATTTTATATATAAAAAAAAAACAATCAGAAGCATTTGGCATACCTTGATTAACGAGGTGCGAATCTTCTGAAATCGTTTCTAGTGTTTGTTTATTGGAAACTCCACGGCGAGAGCGAGTAGAAGTGGTTTTACCGGAATGGCCGTCGAGAGAATCCCTGGGTCTTTTTCCAAGGGAGGAAGAAGCATCAGCGTCTAGTTTCGAGAGCTTAGTTTCTTTGCGAATCGCTGCTTCAAGCCTACGTACCTGAAGGTGAAGTATATATATTGGGAAATGTGAGTAAAGGAAATGACAGTGAAAGAAATAGGAGAGAGAGAGTTCGAACCAGAGTAGGCTTGATTCCGGTGGTGGTGAGTCCCCGGTGATTGAGCTCCGATCGGAGCTCCTCCACCGTCATTTTAGTTGTCGCCATTGATTTTAAGAGGGAAACGAAAACGGTAGTGTTGCTCCACTATGGATTTTCAATTTTGAAAAAGGCTCAACTGTGTTATTCTCTTTTATACGGTACCGTTTCATGTACGTGAGGTGTGCTCTGCAAGATTTCTCTTTTATACGGTGCCGTTTCATGTACGTGAGGTGTGCTCTGCAAGATTGCGCTTAACGATTTTCTCAACGCACTTCATTTTTTAAAAACAATTTAAATACAAAATTCACATATTAGAATTCAGAATGGTATAATTCATATTTACTCAGCATCAACCTCCATTATACATTTATACCTATTATACACTTTTTAATTATTTAAATAATTCATCTACTAGTACTATTTTATAGTTGAAAGTTCAATCTTTTACTTTTCAATACCCTTTTTTACGTTAACTTTTTTATTTGTATAGCATATTTTTATGAGAGCAGGTTTGAAATGTTTTGAAAAGACAATATGATATTATTTTATCACACTACATGTTTTTTTAAACTAGTTCTCTAAAATAAATAGGAGATGATTACCAAGTGAAATTAGACAAAGACAATCCTAAATTAGCAAGAACATCCATACAATGATTATTCTTTTTGTATACATGCGATATCAAAAACTTCATCCAATTGAGCTTCATCAAACAATTTGATAGGATATGAAATTAGTTTTAGACCTTTAAATTACAAAAAAATTAAAATTAAAATTAGTTGGACCTTTATTATAAATATTGCTTAGATGGGCTTTTAGCTGTTAGTATTGAGAATTTTGTACCCCATCTCTTGGAGTTCTTAGATATTATGTGTGCTTTCAAAAATATTTTTATTTTCGGAGATATATCTTCGGACGCACCTTTTTTATTTAATATTGGTTTTTTCCGGAGCTACGTCTACGGAATGTTTCCGTTTATATAGCTTCCGAACAAATCAAAATACATTCGCGTCAGAGTCCCTTCTCCTCCCTCATGTTTCATTTTTCAACTTCTCACTCTCAAACTCTCTCAATCCTAAAAAAAAAAAAATCCACCAAACTTAATTGTTTTCTATCAAGTTCGACAAGGAGCATTCATCTCAACGATCAAGGCACTCCAAATCATTCAAAGCTCGATATAATCGGTAAGTTTTCGAGTTTCTGAGGTATTTTCGAGTATTTCCCGTAAAGGAGTTAGAATATAGTTTTAGGGGTAAAAATCGTTAGATAGTTTTAGAAACATAGTTTAGAGACAATGTAGGTATTGTTTGTTGGCTGAAACAAACGAGCAGAGCTTCAAAAAACCAATTTTCATGGGTAGGGGACGACATTGTCGTTGTTGTTAGAGTCGCAGGAAGTTCCGGAGCTACATCTACGGAACAAATTAATGTTAGGGCAATTTCGTAGATGCAACTTCGGAACAAATCAAACATTTTGAATTTTGGGTTCTTCCGTAGATACATATACGACAGTTTTCCGCATGTTTATATTCGGAAGTGAAAAATGTTATTATTTTTTTTTTCTTTTTTAATTTATTTGTATCTAATTGTTTTTTCTTGGTTATACCTTGCAGACATTATGGTAGACAGAGAAGATAAATTGCAACTTGGACAGGTTTCATAATATGCATCTGTGAGACGCGAGCGAAGTCAGGCCACTGTTACCAAGGTCGATACAGTTGAGGCACATCTTTCTTCACCACATGTCCAGGACATTCCCTCAACCTCGCATCCCACCCCATCATCCACTTCTTCATCCTGGAGGCATCGGGGTTTAGTTGAGGGTTCATCACAGACTTCGTCTTCTCGCAGGCCTCGTCGGGATACTCCTGGTTCTCCTCCTGCTGATGATCTAGTGCCACCTCCAGAAAGTGATGACCCACCACCGGAGGATGTTGTGACGATGACGATAATGAGCCTGAAGGTTTCCCAAAGGGTCCCTCAGGTATATCCCTGCTGGCAGGGTACGCTTACCATACTGCCATACATGTCTGGGATGGAGAGGTAACATTACGCATATTGTTTCTTTTTTTTACATTGAAAATTTATAATTTGTACCATTGTTTCTTATTTATGGAAATTTTTAGACTCGTCAGCCGCAGAAGTTCTGTAACCACGAGCGGGGGATATTATCTTTGGAGCAGTCACAGGAGGCTTGTTCCAGGATGTCCTTGTTGCCTCTGGTTTGAAGGGCCTTTGTAAGATCAGTTACAGTGTGATCCACAACGGAATGCTGATGGGCTTTGTAGAAAGATGGCACCCTGAGACGTCCTCCTTCCATCTACCACACGGCGAGCTCACGATCACGCTGGACGACATCTCTTATCTGCTACATATACCGATCATGGGTACCCTCATCCATCACGGTAGCATGATGAAGAAGGATGCGAGAGAGATGTTGGTCGATGAGCTTGAGGTTGATCCACTAGATGCACTGAAGGAGGTGGATAAGACCAGAGAGGCTCATGCCAGGTTCTCCTTTCTCACCCTTAGATTTGAGATACATAGGCAGCGTGTGATGAGATGTTATTTTCTATTTTTATTCGGCACTCAGCTGTTTGTGGACACTTCCTCCACATATACGGATGTCGCTTGCCTAAGGTACTTTTTGGATTCCACACGGATCCATGAGTATAACTTGAGGGTGGCTACCCTAGCTTACACGTATTCGAGGCTGGGAGAGGGATGTCTGTGGAAGATCAAGACTGTGGCAGGGAGCATGGCACTACTTGTGGTAACAATCTTATATCCTTCAGATTTTTTTCATTTCTTTTAATTTAATATTCGATATAATGCTTGATCCTGATGTTTCTTATTTTCATTTCAGACGATCGACCCTTATAGAGTCTATTTCGATCTCTTGGTTATTAAGGACATCTGATACGACGTCTATGTTGATCATTGTGTGACGCGCCCGTTTGACGACATCTCCATATTGTCAGGATGGTTGGTATGCAGTTTGACAATCATTGTTCCATATTTTCCTGAGCGCGTCATGCAGTAGTTCGGCTACACTCAAACCATTCCCAGACATCTAGATATCTCCGCTCCTCTCTGCTTGACTTGTGCGCAAATATAAGAGATCTATTCCAACTACCAGAGACACATGGTACTTGACAAGGCTCAGGCGACTAGAGTACCGACAGACTGGAGTTGCGTTGATGGCTACATCATGTGGTTCTTCACCGTCTCACACCTATACATGGTGCCCACTGCCGAAGGATTACCGCCAAAGCCAGCTCACTAGGAGATTTAGAGTAGCAGCAGTCTCAGTTGAACCACACTCAGGATGTCCTGCCTCACTATCGTCAAATAGTGGAGATGGAGCGGGCAGGCATTATCGTCGGTTTCTTCCCTGAGGGGTCTGACCACATGTGTGTATTGGATGACATCATTATGGTAGCAGTAGAGGCACTAATGTACCGCAAGCATCGCACCAGGACGGGTGGGATCGATGGCCGAAGATGCATACCGAGCGGTCGAGGAGGAGGGAGATGCAGACGAGGCGGCAAAGGCATAGGCGGAGGAGGGGATGCAAATGTTGTCAAACACACACAATAGTGACTGTGATTTTTTTTTGATGTACTATATTTAAATGACATTGATGTACTATTTTTCGATGATGATTATCACATATTACTTTTATATATATATATATATATATATATATATATATATATATATATATATATATATATATATATATATATATATATATATATATATATATATATATATATATATATATATATATATATATATATATATATATATATATATATATATATATATATATATATATATATATATATATATATATATATATATATCATATTATTTTATTTACGAATGTATGCCATTTTATATTCATCTGCGACCAACAAAACTTGATTTTAAAAAAACGGTTATGATAAGATTTCGGAGATGTATCTCCGGAACTTTTTTCGTAGATGCATCTCCGGAAGCATCCAGCATAGAGAAAAAAAAAGGGTGCGTCCAGATATGTGTCTCTGGAAGCAGGGGGCATAAAAATAATTTCGTTAGATGCCTAAGAGTATCAAGGGGTGGATTAAGAAATTCTCTTAGTATTGTATATGTATTAGCATTGAGAGATGGAAAATTATGAAATGAATGAAATTGTCTCTATTTTATTAGAGCACCTCCAATGGTGCAACCCATTTTTAGGTTCTTTGTGGGACTCACTCTTCTAAAATAACTTATTCAATTTTCACTCCAATGATGCAACTTCAAAGAACCCATATTGGGTCCCACTACTTTACTTAAATATATTATTTATATTAAATTTATTTTATTTAAAATTATAATTTAAATATTTAAATTTTAATTACTATAAATATAAACTAAACATAAAATTAAAATTAAACATAAAATTGAAAATAATAATTTATGAATAAAATGATGAAATTGTGAGAGAGAAATTTAAAATTAAAGAGTAAATAAAAGTGAGAGAAAATAGGATTGTTATAAATTTTTGCAACAAACTTATATTTATAATAAATAAAAAAAGTTTAAAAAAAATAAAACCAACAAGTTAAATAATTATTTTAATAATAAAAAAAATGAAGAACCATTGCTTATGCAAGTAACGTTCACCAGCTGGAACAACTTTTTGTTGACAATTTCAATGCCAAGTTGGCAAACCAATTTGAAGAACCACCGTTGGTGATGGTCTTAGATAGCGTTATTGTCTTTTATTCCTTTTATTTTATTTAGTCATTTTAGTGTTTTTCTCCTTTTATTTTAGAAACCCTAGTTCATTAGACCTTTGTAGGAAAATCTTCCTATCAATTGGTGCTTTCATTTCAATCTCATTCCTGTTAAATATGGTTTGTGTGGAATTTTTATGGAGTAAAATAATCATACTGATGGATCCTTTCGATTGAAAAATATTTTAGAGACAAAAATATTATGGAGGATGAGGAGAAGATGAAGGTAGCTGCAATGACAATGAGAGGTTGTGCTCTTAAATGGTGCCTATGGATGATTCAACCTCATCCATCGTTGTCT